AGTTTTGCTTGTGAGTGCGCTATATTTTAGTTTCTCAGCGGTGGCTGGAAAAGGGAAGGAGTGCGAGCACCATAGCGAGCGTGGGTGACGCGTCGCTGTGCACTGATGACGTGTGCCAATAGCGGGTGTGATTCTACCGCGGGCACTTGCACTTGCACTTACACTTCGATCTTCCTTTCCCTTTCTCCCTTCTCCCGCGCATGACTCTACCTCTCACCTCAACCCAGTTTCGAGACGTCTCAAATCTCCTTCCTCTACCTCGTAAGACCTCCCCCTGCCCCTGCCCCTGCCCCTGCCCCTGCCCCTGCCCCTGCCCCTGCCCCTGCCCCTGCCCCTGCCCCTGCCCCTGCCCCCCTCCTCCCCTTCCCCCTCGCCGTCCCCTTCTCGCTCTACCTCCCCCCCTCCCCCTTCCATCCCCGCTCCGTTCTCCGTTCCTTCTCCCTTCTGTTCTCGGTGCTGATTGGCTGACGAGTGCGGTGCAGTCAACCGGCGATTGGACGAGTGGATCCCAGCGAGCAGCATCGACCAATCGTCTGTCAACACGGCGTGTGAAGAGAAGGCGGAGGAGAAGGTACTCAAGGCTGCTATGTGTATGTTAGTCAGGTTCACTATCTAACCATCATCGTTGATATTTGAAGTCGTTTGCATTGTTCTTGTGCCTTTCCTATACCCATTCATTGCTGCCCTTCCCCTCTCCCCTCCTCCTCTCTTTTCCCTCTCAACCTTTCTTTGCCTTCCCTTATCCCCCCTTCCTCTCCGTTCCCTCTCCTTCCCTCCTCTCCTTCCCCTCTTCTCCCCGCCACTCCATCCCCTCCGCCTCTCCCCTCCCCCCCCTCGCTTAACTGCCGGCCTGCCTCTCTCCCTGCCACGTCAGCATGGCAGCGGAGTGAAGATGACACGTCATCAGAAGAGGAAGATTGACGAGCTGCACATCGAGGAGGTGAGTACGGATCAAATGACTACTCAATAGTAGGCTTTTGAGGCGCCTCAAAACTCAATAGTAGGCATGGGAGCAGTCATGCCATGCCATGCCATGCCATGCCATACCACAGCAACCCGAAAACGAATCGGACATTTGATGTGAGTGTATAGTATCCAACCTGCAGCACGGTCTCTCTGTGATGCTGGTGACCACCTGGCAGTGGCACCCGCGCGACCTTAGCCTCCGACTGGGGAGGCAATTCACCCCTAATTTTCCACACACACACACACACACACACACACGCACACTCCCGCACACACACACACACACGCACACTCCCGTACAGGGCCATGAGGATTTCGACGCGGCAAGCCTGAGGGAGCACGAGGAGTTCACAAAGGTGAAGAATGTGGCGGTGATAGAGCTGGGGCGGTACGAGATGGACACTGCTAGGGGCCCAGTGCCCACCAAGGCCATGATCTTCCCATTCCTCCTTACACACCCCTACAGGGCCATGAGGACTTTGACGCAGCAAGCCTGAGGGAGCACGAGGAGTTCACAAAGGTGAAGAATGTGGCGGTGATAGAGCTGGGGCGGTACGAGATGGACACTGCTAGGGGCCCAGTGCCCACCAAGGCCATGATCTTCCCATTCCTCCTTACACACCCCTACAGGGCCATGAGGACTTTGACGCAGCGAGCCTAAGGGAGCACGAGGAGTTCACCAAGGTGAAGAACGTGGCGGTGATAGAGCTGGGGCGGTACGAGATGGACACGTGGTACTTCTCGCCCTTCCCCCCCGAGTACGCGCACTGCTCCAAGCTCTTCTTCTGCGAATTCTGCCTCGCCTTCCTCAAACGCCCCTCGCAGCTCGAGAGACACATGGTGAGTGAGTGGCTTGCTCTGCTCTGTTCGGCGTTTTTTTTTTTTTTTTTTTTTTTTTTTTTTTTTTTTTTTTTTTTCTCTCTCTCTCAATAATAAATTATGTCCGATTTTTTTTTCTATGTGATTTTCATTATATTTCTTGTGTTTCTGCAGCGCAAGTGTGACCTCAAGCACCCACCGGGGGATGAGATTTATCGCAACGGCTCGCTCTCCATGTTCGAGGTACAACTTAATACAAGTCACCATCCGTTGTTGCCAATGATTAGCTTGGCATGTGCCTTTTCACATTGTTTTCCACTTTTCAAATCCTCCCTGTTTCTGAACTGATTCAGCAACCTTGCCTCAAATTCCTGCATTCCCAAGGTTTCCGTGGTTCTCGGCAGCATTTCCAAATTCCAGAATGTACAAATCTTGTAGAATTCCTGCTCTCCCAGACTTCTACAACGTCTCGAGTGGAAGTCTTAGGCCTAGGGCTCCCATCCATGCCCATTTCGCTTCTTTCCCGTCCCTCACCTCAGGTGGACGGGAAGCGCAACAAGGTGTACTGTCAGAACCTCTGCTATCTGGCGAAGCTGTTCCTGGACCACAAGACGCTCTACTACGATGTGGACCTCTTCCTCTTCTACATCCTCTGCGAGTGCGACGAGCGCGGCTGCCACATTGTCGGCTACTTCTCCAAGGTACGCACTCGCCGTTGCATTCTCTATTACTGGCGCTCTTGTTGCTTTTTGGCGTGTAAGACAAGCCAAGACCCTTCTACTACGATGTGAACCTCTTCCTCTTCTACATCCTCTGCGAGTGCGACGAGCGGGGCTGCCATATTGTGGGGTACTTCTCCAAGGTACGCTGCAATGCAATGCAATGCAATGCAATGCATGTTCGAGGGGGGTCGACTGGACGCTTCCACTCTCCGACCTTGCTCTTTCCCCACCGTCTTCTTTTGCATACGACCAATCTCGCTCTCCCCTCTTATCTTCCTTCTGACCCCAATCTCTCTCCCTCTTCCCGCCTTGGCACACCAGGAGAAGCAGTCAGAGGAGGGGTACAACCTGGCCTGCATCCTAACGCTCTGCTCTTGGTTCCCCTCATCCCCCTCATCCCCCTCATCCCCCTCATCCCCCTCATCCCCCTCATCCCCCTCATCCCCTCATCCCCCTCTCTCTGCCTGCCTGCCTCAATCTCAATCCCCTGCAGGAGAAGCAGTCAGAGGAGGGTTACAACCTGGCCTGCATCCTCACCCCCTACACTCCCACCCCTCTCATCTGCCTCATCCCCACCCATCTGCCTCATCCCCGTTAACTGTCCCTCTTCCTGCCTTAATCCCTTCCAGGAGAAGCAGTCGGAGGAGGGTTACAACCTGGCCTGCATCCTCACACTGCCGCCCTACCAACGAAAGGGATACGGCAAATTTCTCATCGCCTTCTGTAAGCCAACACAACCACCCGTGTCCTTGCAATTTCGTCTTGAGATTTTTTTCAAGGCACGTACGAGTTGTGGGTTGCGGCCCACAATTGTCAAGAGCTGGGTGGAGTCGTGCATTGCATTCCCCTCGTCCTTACCCCTTCCTTTCTCAGTATATGAACTTTCAAAGGAGGGTTACTGACTCCACTTCCCTCCTCTCCCCCCACATCCGCTCCCTCTACAACCCTTCCCTTGCCAGCTATATTAGTGCAACTTTTGAGAAGGGAAGGGAAGGGAAGGGAAGGGAAGGGTTGTACATCCGCTCCCTCAAAAGTCGCACATCCGCTCCCTCTACAACCCTTCCCTTGCCCCGCCACTCTCTCCCCTCTTTCCACCAGCCTATGAACTTTCCAAGAAAGAGGGCAAAGTAGGCACACCCGAGCGCCCTTTGTCTGATCTTGGCCTCCTAAGCTACAGGGGGTACTGGCTGCGCGTGCTGCTGCGCATCCTGAGGCACCACCGTGGCAACCTGTCAATCAAGGAGGTCTTACTGACTCCACTTCCGTCCTCTCCTCCCGCCACTCTCTCACAACCCTCCTCTCCCTCTCCCGCACCCCCTCCACTCTCGCCCCTCTTTCCACCAGCCTATGAACTTTCCAAGAAGGAGGGCAAAGTAGGCACACCGGAACGGCCCCTGTCCGACCTAGGCTTACTGAGCTACAGGGGCTACTGGCTGCGCGTGCTGCTGCGCATCCTCAAGCACCACCGCGGCAACCTGTCGATCAAGGAGCTGAGCGACATGACGGGCATCAAGACAGAGGACGTGATCTCCTCGCTGCAGTCGCTGCACCTCATCCAGTACCGCAGGGGACAGCATGTGATATGCGCGGATCCAAAAGTATTGGACCGGCATCTCAAGGCTGTGGGGAAACCGGGGCTTGAAGTTGACGTCTCAAAGTTGATTTGGACGCCGTACAGGGAGCAGGGGGGGTGAGTGGTCCACTTATGAGAATTCTCACAAGGGGGGTGAGTGGTTCACGGGTGTGCGTGTGTGTGTGGGTGTGTGTATGCGTGCGTGTTCGAGAGTGATGCAGTGACGAGGGGAAGGAAGGATGTGGAGTCTTCTCAATGGTTCAGGTTGGAGTGTGTCTTGTGTAGATGCTGTATAGTATGCAAATAAAAGACCCACAAGGGTAATGAATGAGGCCCTTCGGGGTTCTGTCTTGATGCAAGGCCTGTGCTTAGAGATCATTTGGATTATGGGCATTTGATAGTGAGTGAATAGCCTGTATTCAAGCGCTGCTACTTTGAAAAGAACCGACTAAACTGTTCGCAGTACTCGGGTAGTACTGGTGAGTTATGGATGGATTGCTGAAGGCTCAAAAGCAACTCAATCTTACTAAGCAGACAAAAGTCCCCAACGAAACTAAACAAGCTACTCTAAGAAACTGCTTATCGTATTCCGACAGACGTTTAGTGCGGTGCGGCACGAGCCAGCCAGTCCACTAGGGTGAAAACAAAGAGGGGTCAGCTCAGCAGAGAACAGACTCAGATGATCCAGCAGCAGCATGGGCCGTTCCACCACACCATCCTCCTCACATTCCTGTTTTGGCTGTGTTGGTCCGCTCATGCTGACTGGACTGGTCAGCAGAGGACGGACGCAGATGACCCAGCAGCAGCATGAGCTGCATGCTTGCCCACCACGCCGTCAACATCCCTAAACGGCTAAGGCAGCAAAAATCATTTCCGTGCCAGAATTTGGCTGAATGGCCCTACAACGGAGAGGGGTAAGCTCAGCAGAGGACGGACTCAGATGACCCCATGGGGACGGACCCAGCAGCGTGAGCCGTTTGCTTGCCCACCACACCGTCAACATCCCGGCCGGGCGGCACAAAGAGCAGATCGCCCCATGGGGAGTCCTCGTCGTTCTTCTGCACAAGTGGGAATGGAGCAGAGACGAGTGAGGGACAGTGTAGAAGACAGAAGATTACGGTTGTGGTGGCTCGAATGCTTGTGTGTGAAAGAGAGAGATGGGACGTGGTGATATTTGAGGGTGATAATAAGTTTAGGGTGTGTGTAAGTGAGAGACAGATGGACAGTGGTGGTGATGTAGAAGGGTGCAACCCTTATGGGCACCATTGGTGCAACCCTTATGGGCACCATTGGTGCAACCCTTATGGGCACCATTGGTGCAACCCTTATGGGCACCATTGGTGCAACCCTTATGGGCACCATTGTCTATCTGATAGACATACCTCCATCTTCTTGAGCACGTCCTCAAAGCTCCCCACCTGATGGGGCAAGGCATGGCATGCATGGGATGGGATGGGATGGGATGGGATGTTGGAAGGCATGGCATGGGAAATGGCATGGCATGGCATGGGGCATGAGGAGGAGCAAGTGGCATGGGAAGGAATCGGGGACGAGAGGGGAACGGGGCATGGGACATGTGCAGCAAAGAGCAACACTGTGGATGAGTGGATGCCAATAGGTAAGGGGAGGCATGCAACACATGCCCTCCTTGCAGCGCTCACCTGCAACACATGCCTTCCTTGCAGCACTCACCTGCACGTTGATTCCCACAGGCCCCTTCCCCGTGCTCCTCCGCGGCTTGCCCCCATCCCCCTCTCATGACCACCACTGTTCTCCCAATATCACCACAACTCATCGCCACTCGCTCACCTGCACGTTGATGCTCACAGGCCCCTTCCCTGCGCTCGTCTGCGAGTTTTGAGATGTCTCGAAACTGTACGTCAGAATGAAGCCACATCCTGAACACTCACCTGCACGTTGATGTTGACAGGCCCCTTCCCTGTGCTCTTCTGTGGCTTGCCCCCCTTTGAGGTGACTTCTGAGTCGACTCAAAGGTCACTGCAGCGCTCACCTGCACGTTGATGCTCACAGGCCCCTTCCCCGTGCTCTTCTGTGGCTTGCCCCCCGTTGCCTTCCTTATTGCCGCCTCTAGATCCTCCTGCACGCACATGCCATACATACATGGGTACACATGTGCATGCGCAGGTACATGGGTATACATACGTGGGTATACATGTGCACATGCAAGCATTAGCATATTGAGGACACGAGAATGAGGAACAATCACTCCAGAACCAGCTAAATTGGGAGGCGACTAAACAAGATGAGGTTAATCCTTTTGAGAAGCCTCAGAAGTTTGTCCACAATCAGCCCATGCAGATTGGGGTGCGGCGGAATGAAGAAGAGCAGGAGAGGAGAGGCATATGGTCTGTTGGTGAGAGTCACAGGGGGAAAACAGTGTTAGCTATCTGGTAAGAACCGAACATGCCCTCGGAGATGTTTCGAGACAGGCTCCGCAATAAATAGAGCAGAGTCAAACGAGTGGAAGGAAGTGGGTAGGTGGGTGAGTGATTGTCACGATGCCTTGGTGAAGAAGATTGGGCAAAAAGGGCAATTCTTAGACCAACTGATTACAAATCTCTGACTGGAGAGTGGAAAAGGCGTTCTGAAACGTCTCAGAACTCGAGTGTGTATCATATCATATCATATCATACCTTGGTGAAAAAGATTGGGCAGAAGCGGCGGTTCTTGGACCGGAGGATCAGACTCTCTGACTGGTGAGTGGGAGGGGCAGGACAAGCGAAAATGAGAAAGAGACAGTTCTTTTTAGGCGCCTGGTACAGGCAGGTTCAATATCTCCCACACCTGGAAGACCGAAACCCCTCCCATACCTGGAAGACCGAAACCCCTCCCATACCTGGAAGACCGAAACCCCTCCCATACCTGGAAGACCGAAACCCCTCCCATACCTGGAAGACCGAAACCCCTCCCATACCTGGAAGACCAGTCCACCCCTCCCATACGTACAAGACCGGTACCCCTTTCCCATACCTGAAAGGCAGGGTCACCCCTCCCATGCCTGGAAGACAGGCATTTCCTCCCATACCTGGAAGGCAGGTTCACCCCTCCCATACCTGGAAGACTGGAACCCCATCAAAGGCCTTGCTGTTGTCACCTGCTTGCGACTTCAGCTGGCGGTGGGCATGGGATTGGAATTAGGATTGGGAATGGCATTAAAGTTGGGATAAGGGCAAGGGAATACAAAGAATGCCGGCTGTGACTTTTCAAGTGTACGCAAGAGTCAACTTGTTGTGGGAATGGGGTTGATCGGGGCAATGCAGACGGGCAGCAGGGAGGGAGGCAGAGGTGCAGAGAAACTCACCAGCACGGCGTGTTTGACTTGAAGGGGGTCCGGCAGGAAGCGGAAGGCAATCCCCTCGGCTGACAGCGCATACACCTGTGTGTGATTCGATCACCATGTGGTTATTAGAACAAAATATAAGATTAAATGAGGGACAAAGAGACGGGAAAGTAGGGGGAAAAGAGGGGGCAAAGGGGGAGGGAGGGGAGAGCGGTGGATGCAGTGAGATGTCTGGTCCATGTGATATGTGCATATCCACATGAAGAAAACACACCTGAATGTTCTCAAATCGAATGTACCCTACAGCAAGAGCACCTCAACCGCTATAAGCGTGCTGATTAACTAATCTCCTTACCTTATCTTAATCCCCTTACCTTACCTATGCATCCCCTCCCTGTCTCACCTTATCCATGGCCACAGGCACCACTCGCGCTCCCTTGCCCAGCGAGGCGTCACGATCCTTCACCTGCCCACATAGTGACGTGGCAAGGTTAGCAGCGCGTGGCATGACGTGGCCTGACGTGGCATGGTTTGGCATGGCTGAGAGGATAGGTGCAACCATGGCTGAGAGGATAGGTGCAACCATGGCGGCGAGGATAGGTGCAACCATGGCGGCGAGGATAGGTGCAACCATGGCGGCGAGGATAGGTGCAACCATGGCTGACGTTCCCCCCCCGCCTCCCTTCCCCTTGAACCAAATTCCGCATCTCAATCTCTCCTCCCAGGGCCAAAGGCATCCCACCTGCGCCATTCCACCTGCGCCATTCCACCTGCGCCGACCCACCTGCGCCAAGAGGGTTTCCGCGTCTTCCTTGCGGAAGCAGAACAGCCCGATCGACTTGCTGCCCTCCGCGTCCGCGATAAGAACGAACTCGTTAGCCGCGTTGCTCACAGTGTACACCGCCAGGCCCTCCAGCCGCTTCGCCACCTGCGGCGCGGACATGGCGACGTCGAACAGATGCCTCGCTCCCCCGTCGTACGCGTTAGTGCCAGCTGCGGTAGCAGACGCAGCGTCGAATCCGCGTAGCGACGACGCAATGGACGCGAAGCACGGAGCTCGGAAACCCTGCTGCTGGCTCCTAAACTCGTCCGCGTTCAACGGAAACGATTTAACTCTCTCGATTCCTGCCATGGCTTCACGAATCGCTCCCTGCTTGTGATTCTCGATCTCCGTCGCGCAGAATTCGCGGAACCTATCAGCTTCGAGCCGTCTGTCGCGAGCCCATGCTGCCAGAGGCGCCGCAAGAGATAAGGCGTTTTGGAAGTTGCTCTGCACGGCGTTCTGCACGGCGCACTGGACATTCTGAGCGAAAGCAGGGAGTCGCCGTTGCTGTGTTACCCCGTCCGTCGAGCGATTCTCCATTAGCAATGTTTCGTGATGAGAGTGACCGAGGAAAATGAGTGATAACGATGAGATATGCAGGACCACGCGTGGGTCAGCGCGAACCACGGCGGTAAATCCGTTTCTGACCAGCTGGAGAAGGATCAGGGAGGGGGACAGGAAACAACAAATCAGGGGGATGTGCGATGCTGAGCTCTCCGATATGTGTCATACAGATTGCGAAAGGACTGTATTCAGTTCCGAAATATCTTATTGCTCTTCAACGTACAGCAGCACTATACGCACACCAGTTCTCTGTTACCCCATCAGCCGAAATGTCCCTCTCGCATCCAATGAGGGCATGATGACCTCAGTCTGGTTCGGCGCGGTTTGTTAAATAATTAGCGTGTTATTGTGCGATACAGTAGTCTCGGTGATGTTTACAGGAATATGTCGGCTCCATTTAGTGTAACCAGACTGTCACAGACTCGTGTAGCCTCTTCGCGCGTGCGTTCTCTTTCATCGTCAGGAAGCAGCGTGGTCGCGAATCGCGGATGAGTTTCGCCAACGTCCCCGCGCACTCATCCACCGACCAACCGAACAATTTCCCTCCACCCAGCTTGATCCCCCCTTTCCCCCTTTTCCACACTCACTTCTCCTCGCTGGCTGCCTGCACAGCTCATCGCATTCCGCCAATTCCCCCAAGAGCCCTGATCCCCCCACGTCCCCCGCTTGCCCCTGTCGCCTGCACAGTTCTCTCTCACCCTCCCTCGCCTCGATCTTTTCCCGAGCGCTTCCTCCAAACCTGTTCTGTTCACCCGCTTTCCCCCGTGCTCCTTCCCCCCGAACCCCCTCCCTCCCTCCCCCCGTACCCCTCCGATACCCTCCCCGTGCTTTTCACAGCTGGTTCCATCCAATCAAAATACTCGTCCCTCCCATAGTCGCTTCGTGTCGCTTTCTGACTGCTCTCTCGGAACCATGCCAGAAGAGTTGAGCTTCCTCATTCTTTTAGCATTTTCTTGTCCGGCAATTTCTAGGTCTTTAAAACCTATTTTCTGTATCCTTCGCGACCTGTTGAGAGTCCTCGGCTATGTCGGGATTCACCACCAAGGGCCGGCCGATAGTCCCATCGTTCGGCCTATGGCGAACCGGCGGCAGCGAGGGTCCATCAGACGCGTCGTCAATCTCGCAGGTGTTTCGGGAGGCGGGTAAAAAAGCCAAGCAGGCGAAGCAGCAGCAGCAACTGGCGTTAGAACCGTACGAGGATAGCGAGAAGACCGCTATTAACGGACCTTTCTCCTCTTCTTCCTCCTCATCGTCCTCTGCTGCTACCCACCCTTCCTCTGATTCCCATTCCTCTTCCGCGTCCCACCCCCCAGTACCATCCCACCCTTCCACTGCGCCGTACCCTGCCATAGACCCATACCCTTCCGCAGCAGCCAACTCGTTCGTCCTGTCAATACCGCTTCAAGCAGGACCTAAAAACGCCACACACTCGCCGACTTCTGAGTCGACTCAAAAATCGCTTCAAGCAGGACCTAAGAATGGCACCCATTCTCCAACCTCTCAAGTCCACCCCACCGCACCCGAATCAAGTCCGATCCTTTCGCCTCGCCATGCTCTCGCGTCGTCTCCCACGCGCCTCGATCCCTCTAAAAACCCGACCTTGGAGTCGCACCCCGCCACGGCTCGCTCTCCGCACTCGTCGCCGCACCCTCCGGCGTTTTCAATCAAAGCGACCGTCGCGTCGCTCGTGGGGAGCGTCAACCTGCTCAGCCTGAGCGACAGCTACGCTGCCGGCGACGCGTCGACAATATCCGCCGTGATTCGCGACAAGAAGAAAAAAATCCTGCAGGAGAAGCAGCAGCAGAAAGGGCTGCTGCTCCTCTCTCCCACACGCGAAGACCCGTCCCCTCCGGCGCCCTCAGGTGCTCCTCCAGGTGCTTATTCAGGTGCCATTCCCAGTAAAACCGAGCCTTCACCTGCGAGGGCTGTACCGGCTGCGGAGTCCCTTTCTCTGCTCAGCCTGAGCGACAGTTACGCCGCAGGCGACGCGTCGACGATATCGGCCGTGTTTCGCGACAAGAAAAAGAAGATCCTGCAGGAGAAGCAGCAAAAGGGTTTCGCTCTCTCCCCCACTCGAGAGCCGGCTGCCGTTGATGCTGCTCAATCTTCTCATGCTGAGACGGTTCAACGGTCATCTGTTGAGGCTGCTCAACGGTCCCCCCCGCGAAACTCATGGTCGGGAAACTTGAACGCCGTGCACCCGGAAACTCCAGCGGTAGTTCCCACGTGGCATCCTCATCAGCTTCAAGGCGATCCGTCTGACGTGGACTCGGACGCGTCGACGATTTCTCTAGTTTTCCGGAATATGCGACACAAAGCGCGGCAAGAGCGGCAGGAGCGGGAATCAAAGGAGGCTGGAGTTGACGTGAGAGTTCAAGTGAGCACAGGAGCACAACCGTTAGCAGAAGTAGAATCAAGAGCAACAGGTGTAGCAGCAACAGCAGCAGCAGAAGCAGCAGGTCTAGCTGCAGAGGGCGAAGCATATCCCGTCTCGCCAATACACGCTCTCGCGAGCCCCAACCGTCCCGAATCCAGCCAACCGGCCGTCGATCTCTGGCCGTCTAGCTCGCCGGCCGCAGCAGCCGGGCCTGCGGGGGAGAACGTGTCGCTAGTCTTCTGGTCGAGGCAGCAGGAAGGGCACTCGGGGGAAGACGCCAAGACGGCGAAATTCGGGGAGAGAATCCGCAGAGTTTCAGGCGAGGGTGGGGGGGCTGCTGTGGGGAATGCGGCGGAAGGAGCAGGGGTAGAGAGCGCAGGAGGGGGAGGAGGTGGAGGGGGAGAAGGCGAATTTGAGGCGTCGTTTAGAGCGTCGCACCCGCCTCACTCCACGGCGCATGGGACGGCGCAGGAAGGAGCGCAGATGACGGGGGTAGGGGCGGCGCAGGCGGCGCAGGCGGCGGAGGGGGCGGAGGGGGCGGAGGGGGCGGAAGGGGCGGAAGGGGCGGAGGCACAGGCGGAGGAGATTGACGAGGACGTGTTGCACGCGTGTGTGGATCCCGCGTACGCGGACCCGCGGCGGCAGTTCATGTCCAACCCCACGTGCTCTCTGGACGAGGCGTTTGACGCCATCCTGCAGAACATGGATAGCGGCCCTCTGGGCGCTGACGCGCGAGCCACGGCTCAGGTGAGATTTAGACAGGTTGAACTGTTGACTTGACGCTCTAGACAAACGAACCCCACGTGGAACGTGCTCGCTGGACGAGACCTTTGACGCCATCCTGCAGACCATGCCCGATATTGGCCCGCTCGGGGGTGAAGCCAGAGCTGCTGCCCAGGTACGATCAGGATTAGTGGCGCTGATGACGTGAAACCATAGAAAAGCGGATCCCGCATGTTCTCCCGGTGCAATCACACTTATGCTCTTGACATCCCCTTGTGCCACGCTGCTTCCATCAGGCTAGCCTGCAATCACCGTTCGAGCAGCTATTGGAGGGGAGTGAGTCTCCCAGTCCAGAGCACAAACACCAGCACCAGCAACAGCAGCAGCAGTCGCAGCCGCTGTCACCGCAGAACGCTCAGCCGAAGTCGGAGCAGCGCAGCAGGGCTAGGCGAAGCATGGATGACGATGAGGCAAGGACGAGCGGGTGGCAGCTTCAGCTGCCCCTGCCGCTCCCCCACCGCGCCCAGCAGCAGCAGCAGCAGGAGGGGGGTCAGGTGGGGTTGCGCGGGCTGAAAGCACGCAGCAGGGCGTTTGTGAACAAAGTGATGACCAAACTGAACGGGCGCGCAGGTATGGGCATGGGCATGGGCAGCAGTGGCAGTCCACAGTCAGTGAGCATTTTGAACAACCAGCTAGGGCCCGTCAGGAGCGCGGATGTGGGTATGGTGGGCTCTCCTCACAACACTGCATCAGCGCTCCCTTCGTCCCGGAGCGTGCGAAGTGAGGCGGAGCCCTGGCAACACCACCGTCAGCAACAGCGTCAGCAGCATCAGTATCAGCATCAGCAGCATTACCAGCAGCAGCAGCTAGCATCACCATTAGCATCGCCCTTATCATCCCCGTTATCCTCGTCGTTATCGTCATCCCCACTGCAGCATCAGCAGCAGCAGCACCAGAAGAAGCAGCTGGTAACCTTTCCAACTGTGTAAAACGCGTCCCTCAGTCGTCACCAGCTTCCACCCGTGCCAGCAAAAGCTAGCTGTAAGGTGCTTGACAAGTCGTCGACTGACATGTCTCATTGGACAGGGCTCTTCACACGTCCCTCTGGCTGGGCGTCTTCACCAGCTTCCACCCGTGCCAGCAAAAGCTAGCTGCAAGGTGCTTGACAAGTTGATTCACAGGTCTCTTGGGACAGTCACAGGGCTCTTTACAGGTCCCTCTGAACGTCCTCACCAGCTTCTACCCTTGTCAGCTTAAAAAAAAAGCTGTGTGCTTAACTAGGGTGAGACTTGCATACACTCTTATTCCAGCTGACCGAGTGTTGAAACATATTAGAGCGTGTTCCTACACCTCGTATCAGATACACCTCGTATCAACTTCGTGTGATGTAATACGTTTCAGTGTGTTCGATTGCGGTTGGATGCGTTCTAGTGCGGTTCGACGCGAATCTGATACGAGGTTGCTTGATATGAGGCCGTAGGAACACGCTCTTAGTCATGTTTGGAAAGAACAAGCCAGTTGTGTTCCCTGTAACGCCTTTCCCTCTAAGGCGTAGTACCCCCCTTGTCTGCTACCAGTGATATTGCTCTGGCATGGCACTAGTTTAAAGCACATTCCTCCTGGGTGGGCAAAGCTTTATCACTTGCTCACCAGCTTGCCACCACAAAGCTGTCGCCTTAGGTCTTTATTTGTAGACCTAAATGGTTTTTTCCGCACAAAACAGCCACGTTGATTGTGTCGTTTCAACTAGCAGGAAGATGTGTACAAGCTGTTACGGTAGTAACTGTATTTCTCATGGACTTGTATTAGTAACTGTATTTCCCCTACCCTCACAATTTAATCAAAATCGCACTTCAATTCTGGTCTGGTCACCTTTCACAATTAGCGCTCCCACTGGCAGTCGCCCACCACCATAGCTGCACCTTCTTACACCACCACTGGCGCTTCCTCCACCCCATCCACCTCTTCTGCCGCCCCACCTGCCCCCTCCTCTTCCACCACCCCTGCAGAATCTACTCGGCTAGGTGCTGCCCGATTGAAACCCTCCAGCATGGCTCTCAGCCTTCTCGCCTGCTCCCCAAGCCCCTCAAACAGCCCCTCCTCCCCCGCCCTCCACCCCCACTGGCCCGCCTGGTTAATGAGGAGAGGAGGCAGAGGAGGCACGGGAATTCAGGGACGAGAAGGAAGGTGGGAAAGTCAAGTTGGCATTGGCATACCCGTGCGTAGTTCTCATGCATGTACGGTACATGTGATTATCGTCTGTCACACACACTCTCCATGAGGAAAGGCTCTCTTCTGAAGAAGAACCGCTCCCATATGAGGAAAGCCGGGGGTGCTGGCCTCAATAAAAGGGAACAGAACTTCAACGGGGCTTTTTGAGAACTCTCAAGTATCTTTCAAGAGTTAGGGCTGGCCCGGCTGGGCTTCCAGGGAAGGGCTCAGAGCCCCCACCGACCGCTCCTGTCACTTGTCGGCAGGGGGGGAAGGTGGGGCGAAAAGAGCGTTCTGGCGGCGCTGCAGGAAGCGCCAGAAGGGCGTCCAGTTGCCCGGCAGCGGTGCTGCGCGGTTGAAGGCCACGAGCAGCATTCTCAGCCGCGCTGCCTCCCCGTCCAGCGAGTCAAACAAGTCTGACTCGCCCGCCCTCCACCCCCACTGGCCCGCCTGTGGAAGAAAGAGCAGGGCGGGTGATTCACCGAAAAAGGGTGTTTGAGAAAAGCAGCAGTGGTGCTGCATGGTTGAACGCCACGAGCAGCATTCTCAGCCGCGCTGCCTCCCCGTCCAGCGAGTCAAAGAGGTCCGACTCTCCCGCCCTCCACCCCCATTGACCCGCCTGCAGAAGGGAAAGCAAGGCGGGTGATTCACCGACACAGGGTGTTTGAGAATAGGAGCAGTGGTGCTGCGCGGTTGAAGGCCACAAGCAGCATCCCCAGCCTCGCTGCCTCGCCGTCGAGCGAGTCGAATAGGTCTGACTCGCCTGCCCTCCACCCCCACTGGCCAGCCTGCAGAAGGGAAAGCAGGGCGGGTGATTCACCGACACAGGGTGTTTGAGAATAGGAGCAGTGGTGCTGCGCGGTTAAATGCGGCGAGCAGCATCCTCAGCCACGCTGCCTTTGCCGTGGAGCGAGTCGAACAGGTCCAAATCGCCCGCCCTCCATCCCTACTGGTCCGCTTGCAGAACGGAGAGCAGGGTGATTCATAGACAAAGGGTACTAGAGCGGCGCTGCGCGGTTAAACGCCATGCGCAGCATTATAAGCCGCGCTGCCTCATGCGAGCAGAGTTGTCGGGCACCATCACGTCCTCACTCAGTGCATCCAAAGCCTCACTCAGCGCAAACCAGCAGCACCTGTAAGTTGTAACCCCACGCCCAAACCATTCAACCTGCACGTCCCTGACCCCACCTGCACGGCCGGCACGTTCATGTGAGCATTGTTGTCGAGCCCCATCACGTCCTGCAGCGCAGAACTTCAGTAGCACCTGTAAACCCGCCCCTAACCAACCTGCAACTCCCAGGCCCCACCTGCACGGCGGGCACGTTCATGCGAGCGCTGTTGTCGAGCCCCATCACGTCCTGCAGCGCAATCACAGTGGTGCGCGCTACAGATGACACCGCCGCCCGGATGATCGCCCACTGAATCTCCTCCTCCTCCTGGGGCGACAGACCCAGCAGCACACGCACCTGGCGTGGGGGGACGGTGGGAGGGGCGGAGCACAGGAGAAAGGGGCAGAGGTGGGGTCGCTTTAGGGAGATGGAATGGCTCTTCATTGAATAGTCCACACCTCCTGGATGTTACAGACGATTAAAAAAGAACGACAGGACGACAGGGCGACAGGACGACAGCATGACAGTACGGCAGCATGGCAGCATGGCAGCATGGCAACATGGCAGCATGGCAGCATGGCAGCATGGCAGCATGGCAGCATGGCAGCATGGCAGCATGGCAGCATGGCAGCATGGCAGCATGGCAGCATGGCAGCATGGCAGCATGGCAGCATGGCAGCATGACAGCATGGCAGCATGGCAGCATGGCAGCATGGCAGCATGACAGCATGGCAGCATGATAGCATGGCAGCATGGCAGCATGGCAGCACTCACATTATTTTTCTCCCACTCAGGAATTTTCTCCCACCAACCAACGACCTGCACATGCAAGCAGAGACACACACACACACAATACAGACAGAATGGTCACACATGCACGAACCAGTAGAGTGGACAGAAAGCTTTGAAACGTCTCCATAAAGGGCACAGAACATGCACAAGCATGCCCAGCCCAGTCACCTGCAGAATGCATTCACCCACACACAAACAGCAAGCATGTACACCAGCATCCGTATTTTTGAGTCGACTCATTTTTTAGTCTATTTTTGAGTCGACTCATTTTTTAGTCTATTTTTGAGTCGACTCATTTTTGAGTCGACTCATTTTTGAGTCTATTTTTGAGTCGACTAAAAAACACACACAAACAGCAAGCATGTACACCGGCATCCGCGCCTCATACTCACCGTGTCGTTGTCATGAGTGCTGGAATGCACCACTTGGTTCTGCCAGTAGGGTGGTATAGGTTCGCCCCAAGTTGCTAAGCATACAGTCTCAACGCCACTCACAGCATCCCCGCCTCATACGCACCGTGTCGTTGTCATGAGTGCCAGGGTACACCACTTGGTTCTGCTCGTGGTTGTTTTCGAGACGTCTCAGTAACCACTTACTCACTGTGTCATTGCCATGCGTCCCACTCACAGCACCCCCACCACCCACGCACCGTGTCGTTGTCGTGAGTCCCAGGATACACCACTTGGTTCTGCTCGTGGTTGTGCGGCAGGTGAGGGTTCTTGGCGTCACTGCCAAACGCTGTCGGGGTAGAAAAAAGGTGGGGTGGGGTGGAGTGGGGTGGAGGCAAGAAGATATCAAATGGCATGGGGGCCAAAGAACGCTGCAAGGAGAATGGTGGGGTGGAGGGACCAGTAGGGTTGCAGACTGTACACCAGAGATTTTACTGAGTGACAACTCTCAAGAGTAGCTTAAGTGGGTGCGGTTGCAACCTTCGCGTCTGGAAGGGACTCGGTCAAGGCGACCCTGAGCCTGGGGTTTCCTTCTCCCTGCCCATAAACTGTGACTGGTGCAGATCATGTTATGGTGACTGACAGGTAATCTGGTAACCCTACTGGCAAGCAAGCGACACTGTGGCACCGACCCTGACCCACCCTGATATTGGGACGCATTTACCGAACTTTAGCACTGCCATGCCATGGGTGCCTACCTCATGATTCTTTTGGGCAGCTAAAAAACTGTCAGAGGGGCATCAGAAACTGTCACGGACTCACCGAACTGCAGCACTGCCATGCCAGGAGCGCCGATTTCACGGCGAAGATCAACCACGTCCACTGTAATCACACCCTGTTACAGTCACACGTTGAAACGGGCGGGGTAGTGGAAACGAAACTTTGTTACAGGCACAAACTGGCAACGCACAATCTCATCAGAGTGTATTTTCTCTATCTACGCCTGGTTATTTCTCATTCTTCTAGAGTCTCGTCCTTAAGTAACCTCATTTTCTCTCTCCCCTCGTCCCTCCCCCCTAACAGCTCTCCCCAACCTCCCACCCTCCTCTCCTTGCTCCCACCTCCCTCCCCCCTCTCAATGCTCACCAGGTCCTCAGCCATGATGTCAATGGGCTTGTCCACAGCCTTCCAAAAAACCTCAAAGAGCGCCGTGCAAGGGCCTCTACGCTCTACTGTTACATTGTCATCTCGTCTCGTCTCCTCCCCTCAGCAGCTCTCCCCACCTCCATTCCCCTTGCAGTGCTCACCAGGTCCTCAGCCACGATGTCAATGGGCTGGTCCACAGCCTTCCGAATCGCCTCAAAGAACGCCTAGCAGTGGCCCCTAACCATTGATCAGTCCCCTCAGTTCCTCTCCTCGTCGCTCCCCACCTCCACCCCCCTTCCTTCCTCCCTGCGCTCACTCACCAGGTCCTCTGCCACGATATCAATGGGCTTGTCCACAGCCTTCCGAATCGCCTCAAAGGGCGCATTGAAAGGGCTTCTACGCTCTACTGACCAGTTAAATTATCCCCTCGGTTCCTCCCTTCCCACCGCTCACCAGGTCCTCTGCCACGATGTCAATCGGCTTGTCCACCGCCTTCCGAATCGCCTCAAAGAACTCCTTGCAAGGGCCTCTGCCCTCTACTAGTCAGGTACATTGTCCTCCCATCTCTCTCCTCCCACCACTCACCAGATCCTCTGCCACGTTGTCAATCGGCTTGTCCACCGCCTTCCGAATCGCCTCAAAGAACTCCTTGCAAGGGCCTCTGCCCTCTACTAGTCAGGTACATTGTCCTCCCATCTCTCTCCTCCCACCACTCACCAGATCCTCTGCCACGATGTCAATCGGCTTGTCCACCGCCTTCCGAATCGCCTCAAAGAACTCCTTGCAAGGGCCTCTGCCCTCTACTAGTCAGGTACATTGTCCTCCCATCTCTCTCCTCCCACCACTCACCAGATCCTCTGCCACGATGTCAATCGGCTTGTCCACCGCCTTCCGAATCGCCTCAAAGAACTCCTTGCAAGGGCCTCTGCCCTCTACTAGTCAGGTACATTGTCCTCCCATCTCTCCCCTCCCACCACTCACCAGATCCTCTGCCACGATGTCAATCGGCTTGTCCACCGCCTTCCGAATCGCCTCAAAGAACTCCTTGCAAGGGCCTCTGCCCTCTACTAGTCAGGTACATTGTCCTCCCATCTCTCCCCTCCCACCACTCACCAGATCCTCTGCCACGATGTCAATCGGCTTGTCCACCGCCTTCCGAATCGCCTCAAAGAACTCCTTGCAAGGGCCTCTGCCCTCTACTAGTCAGGTACATTGTCCTCCCATCTCTCCCCTCCCACCACTCACCAGATCCTCTGCCACGATGTCAATCGGCTTGTCCACCGCCTTCCGAATCGCCTCAAAGAACTCCTTGCAAGGGCCTCTGCCCTCTACTAGTCAGGTACATTGTCCTCCCATCTCTCTCCTCCCACCACTCACCAGATCCTCTGCCACGATGTCAATCGGCTTGTCCACCGCCTTCCGAATCGCCTCAAAGAACTCCTTGCAAGGGCCTCTGCCCTCTACTAGTCAGGTACATTGTCCTCCCATCTCTCCCCTCCCACCACTCACCAGATCCTCTGCCACGATGTCAATCGGCTTGTCCACCGCCTTCCGAATCGCCTCAAAGAACTCCTTGCAAGGGCCTCTGCCCTCTACTAGTCAGGTACATTGTCCTCCCATCTCTCCCCTCCCACCACTCACCAGATCCTCTGCCACGATGTCAATCGGCTTGTCCACCGCCTTCCGAATCGCCTCAAAGAACTCCTTGCAAGGGCCTCTGCCCTCTACTAGTCAGGTACATTGTCCTCCCATCTCTCCCCTCCCACCACTCACCAGATCCTCTGCCACGATGTCAATCGGCTTGTCCACCGCCTTCCGAATCGCCTCAAAGAACTCCTTGCAAGGGCCTCTGCCCTCTACTAGTCAGGTACATTGTCCTCCCATCTCTCTCCTCCCACCACTCACCAGATCCTCTGCCACGATGTCAATCGGCTTGTCCACCGCCTTCCGAATCGCCTCAAAGAACTCCTTGCAAGGGCCTCTGCCCTCTACTAGTCAGGTACATTGTCCTCCCATCTCTCTCCTCCCACCACTCACCAGATCCTCTGCCACGATGTCAATCGGCTTGTCCACCGCCTTCCGAATCGCCTCAAAGAACTCCTTGCAAGGGCCTCTGCCCTCTACTAGTCAGGTACATTGTCCTCCCATCTCTCCCCTCCCACCACTCACCAGATCCTCTGCCACGATGTCAATCGGCTTGTCCACCGCCTTCCGAATGGCCTCAAAGAACTCCTTGCGCGGCCCCATCTGGTGGCCATGGCAGAGCATGGGAAGAACATGGCAGTGCATTGGTGGGAAGATGCTGTTCCACGACACATGCAGGATGCAATGCAAGATGACGGACAATGATTCGCGCAAACATTGTTTTACGAGGCGAGGCGGAAAGCATTGCATGCTTCCCAATCCCCTGCCAGAGTGTCTCACCATCCAGCGGCCGTTCATGGCAGTCTCGGAGTCGGCCGGGATGCTCCAGTACCCCGCGCAAGGCGCCTGAAGTGGTCGATGCGGAACTCATCGTACAGGTCAAACGCCCTCCTCATGTGCTTCAGCTTCGCCCACCAGGCATACCTGATATGTGAGACGTCTCAAACACAGTTTCTCACCATCCAGCGGCCGTTCATGGCAGTTTCTGAATCAGCAGGGATGCTCCAGTAGCCCGCAAGCCCCCGAAAGTGGTCAATGCGGAACTCATCATACAGGTCAAACGCCCTCCTCATGCGCTTCGCCCACCACGAGTACCCATCCTTGGCCATGGCTGGCCAGTTGTACAGCGGGCTGCACAAAGGAAGGGTGGGAAGGTGTGGGTGCAAGGCAAGTGAGGCTCCATTCCACCACACGGTGCTCATCTCATCGTACAGGTCCACCACCATGGGTACCCACCCACCATGTCCGTGGCCATGGCCGGCTCATAGTACAGCGGGGCAGGCTGCAGTGAAGGAGAGGAGGAGAAGGGGGCTTCTGTAGGCGCGCGATGTGTAGGCCACGCGTGGCAGGGAAAGTAAGAGAGACGGAGAGCAGGAGTGTGGGGAGGCCAGAATGAGGAGAAGAAAAGGAAGTGATAGTAGAACAGGAGAGGAGCGAGGAGAAGTTTGGGGGAGAGGAGTCATGCGTAGTTTGGATCATGGACTTGCAACGAACAGACGCTGCTTCACCTCTCAAATCTCTCATCCTTATCTCTTGGAGTCTACGTTCTAACCCCTCTCACCCTTTTCAGCCTTATCTTGCTTAAGCTATCCCCCTAACCCGCCTAATTCCTCCCCCACATCTGCCCCTCACCTGCCCCACAGCCGCCCCTCACCTTCACCACAGCTGCCCCTCACCGGCCTCTCCTTGCCCGTCCCCTCCTCACCTTCCCCACAGCTGCCCTGTGGCGCTGAAGGCATCAGGTGGCACCTACACCAGCTCCACCCTTCCCCCCATCCCCACATCAGTCGCCCTCCTCACCTGCCCCACAGCCGCCCCTCACCTGCCCCACAGCTGCCCCTCACCTGCCCCACAGCTGCCCCTCACCTGCCCCACAGCTGCCCCGTGGCGCTGAAGGCATCGGGCGGCACGCCACTCACGAACGTGGGCTCGCGGGTCTCGGGGTCCTGGTGGCGAGGGGAAGAAAGAAGGTTGTGGTGGGGGCATGGTGGAGTTTGTTCCTTCGGTGCCTCAAACAGCACTCACGAACGTGGGCTCGCGGGTCTCAGGGTCCTGGTGGCGGGGGGAAGAAAGAAGGCTGTGGTGGGGAATCAGGGGTGATGAATGAGGGAAGGGATTGGCATGTACGGACTCGTATCACAAGCACGCAGGAGCAACAGGTCTTCCAGCACGAACGACCAACCAACCAGCCGTGGCCTACCAGCACGATCAACCTACCAGCATGAATTGCTCGGGGTTGGCCCACACGTCAGCGCTGTGACCGCCCACGTAGATGGGCATGTCGCCCATGATGCTCCTGCCCTGCCCTTGCTGCTAGCAGGGGTCATACATCAGGGCGTCTACCACATGCGTGCACGAGCAACATGTGTATCAACATTAACGGCCTACCAGCATGAATTGCTCCGGGTTCGCCCACACGTCAGCGCTGTGCCCCCCCACGTAGATGGGCATATCGCCCATGATGCTGATTCCCTTGCTGTTGGCATAGCGGTGCAGCGCCTGCCACTGCCTCTGGAACAGAAACTGCTGCGCCGCAAACTCGTCAATCTGTTATGCACACGCACAGGGGGAGGGAGGGTTGTTGAGTCGATTTTACGAAGGGGTCAGTGCAGCGCAGCGCCTACAACAGTCTCTGGAACAGAGGCCACAGCCACTGGGACTCCACCCCTTCCCTTCAAGTCGACTCACAACATACATACCTAACTATTCTGCTCCACGGCACCACTCACGTATTCCCTGTGTCTCTCCCTTGCAGCAGCCAAGGCGTTGGGCTCTCTGTCCTTGAGCTCCTTGGGCCACAGCCACCAGAACTCCACCCCCTGCTCTTCGTCGATAGCGCTGAATAGAGCTGCTTCCTCCAACCATGCTGCCATGGGAGAAGGGAAAAAGGGAGGATGCAACAGGAGGGGAGTGCAGACCGTGCAACAGGACATTTGAGTCGAGCCAAAGCTCTATCTTTGGATCGTCCCACCTATAGCATGGAGCTTCTCCCCTATGGCGCGGTCTTTCTAACTGAGGGTATTCAGAAAATACTAGAGGACCAATGAGAAGGAATGGTGCACATGGAACGGTGGGAGGGAGTGGAGAGGTAGAGGGCCGGACCAGAAGGGGACCTAACTGATGGACAGCTTGAGAGGGGCAAACTATGGAGGGGCGAAAATGAATGGAGAGCTTGGTAGGGACGAACCGGAGATGGTGGGGGATTGCCTGAAGGCGTCAAACTCCGCCTTGAGCTCTCCCTTGCTCCTCACCAGTGCCTTGGCCGCCTGTGCTCAGCAGAAATGGGAGGTTGTGGGAGTGAGAAAGGTGGGTGGGCCGTAGCACTGTATTTTTGCACACATTTAGCGAGGCGTGTCAAAAATCTCCTCGCTTGTACTCTGGCAGCCTGATGTTGCAGATGATGAGGCTATGGCAGAGGAATGGGGTGTGGCGAATCATTGTGGCACTCTTTAGCAGTAAGAGGATGCTTGATAATTCGATGGGGTGGTTCGCTGTAAGTACTGGGTTGACGCGTCGTCAGTCAGGGAGATGATTCTAAGTGCCCATCACAGGTTTAAGTGTCAAGTCACGGGTTCATATATCAATCACGGGTTTTAAGTGTCACCTCAGTCAGCAGCAGTGGGATCAGACAGAGGAGGTTAGCAAGGAACAGAGGATGGAGCGAAGTAAGGAAAGTTTATCTATTTCCTTAGGTGCGAAGGATGCAGACAACACACAGGTATGACGAAAAAAAAGGAACGAATAGCGCCAGGTAGACCACTAGGGAGAGTGATGACGCACCTTGGCAACAGCGGGGTCCTTGTCTCTGATCACTTGCTTGTAGTCCACTCTCTCTACCGGGCTGTTGGGGAGGGATGTGGAGTGGGAACAAGTTTGTTTTGAGGTGTCTCAAAGCACACCTTGGCAACAGCAGGGTCCTTGTCCCTGATCACTTGCTTGCAATCCACTCTCTCTACCGGGCTGTTGGGGAGGGATGTGGAGTGGTAGTAATGTGTTTGTTTTGAGGCGTCTCAAAGCACACCTTGGCAATGGCAGGGTCCTTGTCCCTGATCACTTGCTTATAGTCCACCCTCTCTACCGGGCTGTTGGGGAGGGATACGGGGTGGGAACCGGGGGAAATGGGAGTTGGGGGGAAGAGATGGAGAAGAAAACAAGATGGAATTCGGTAGGAAGGGAGGGAGCATAGGGCGTCGTAGGGAGGGAACATACCACGTGGGAGGGAGGGAGCATAGGGCGTCGTAGGGAGGGAACATACCACGTGGAAGGGAGGGAGCATAGGGCGTGGAAGGGAGGGAGCATACCACGTGGGAGGGAGGGAGCATAGGGCGTGGAAGGGAGGGAGCATACCACGTGGGAGGGAGGGAGCATAGGGCGTGGAAGGGAGGGAGCATACCACGTGGGAGGGAGGGAGCATAGGGCGTGGAAGGGAGGGAGCATACCACGTGGGAGGGAGGGAGCATAGGGCGTGGAAGGGAGGGAGCATACCACGTGGGAGGGAGGGAGCATAGGGCGTGGAAGGGAGGGAGCATACCACGTGGGAGGGAGGGAGCATAGGGCGTGGAAGGGAGGGAGCATACCACGTGGGAGGGAGGGAGCATACCACGTGGGAGGAAGTGGTCATATCGCGGACTAAATTCAGTGCTTTTTGTGCTTACCGATTCAGAGCATAGCGCGTAGGAGGGAGGGGGCATACCGCGTGGGAGGGAGGTCCTCGGGCTTCAGGAGGCCGTCCTGCACGAGCAGGTCGAGGGAGAGCAGCAGCGTGTTGCCGCAGTTGGCGTCCTGGCGGACGGGAGAGGGGCGTGGGGAGGGAGTGGGGGTTGGGGAGTGGGAGGAAGGGAGGATACGGAGTGGGAGACAGGTCGGAGGGGTCGAGACGCTGACCTCCACGGGCAGGTCAGAGGGAGAGCAGCAGAGAGTTGCCGCAGTTGGCGTCCTGGTGGACTGGGGCGTGAGGAATGGGGAGAGGGGAGTTGAGAAGAGAGAGGAAAAGCTGGAAAAGCGAAGGCGAGAGAGGCGGGAAGTGCAGGGACGATGGGGAAAGGTGAGCAGGCCCAGGCCTGATCGGCCCACATCTACTTCCAGGCCTGACATCTACTTCCAGGCCTGACATCTACTTCCAGGCCTGACATCTACTTCCAGGCCTGACATCTACTTCCAGGCCTGACATCTACTTCCAGGCCTGACATCTACTTCCAGGCCTGACATCTACTTCCAGGCCTGACATCTACTTCCAGGCCTGACATCTACTTCCAGGCCTGACATCTACTTCCAGGCCTGACATCTACTTCCAGGCCTGACATCTACTTCCAGTCCTGACATCTACTTCCAGGCCTGACATTACTTCCAGTCCTGACCTTGACAGTTCTGATGGAGGGACGATGGGGAAAGGTGAGCAGGCCCAGGCCTGATCGGCCCACATCTACTTCCAGGCCTGACCTTGACAGTTCTGTACCTGACCAGAATTGGAAGTGCCGTACCTGGCCAGCATAGGGGCTGCTGTACCTGACCAGCATAGGGACTGCCATACCTGGGCAGCATAGGGACTGCCATACCTGGGCAGCATAGGGACTGCCGTACCTGGCCAGCATAGGGACTGCCGTCTTCGCCTGACTTCCTTCCAGGTGGCACCAGTGGCAGCACCTGATTTTTTTTTTTAAAAAGCGCACAGAAATGGTAAGAAAACGCACAGGAACAAATGGATTGCACAGGATTGTTGAATAAATGCTCCAGGAATGAACAGAAGTATTAAGCATTGGTCAGAATCAGAATTTGGAAGCTCTGAAATATCTTCAGACGCTCATGGATCCACGCTCCCACCCATCCCTCCACCCATCCACGCGGCCATCCAAACTTCCACGCACACACCCACGCATCCAATCCCCCCAACCGCTCACGCACCCACCCACTCAACCTCCCACGCACCGGCCAGATCGTGCATGCCGTGGACTCGAGCCAACCGATGAAATGCGAAGCAGCGGTCAACAGAATTCACACGCTCTGACGCGTCTCGAAACGTTCATGGATTTACCCACCCACCCATCACCCCACGGATCGGTCCACCCACCCATTCACTCACCCATCCATCCATCCGCTCACCCACCCTCTGCACGCACCTGCCAAATCGTGCATCCCGTGGACTCCAGCCACTCGAGGAAGTGTGAAGCGATGGTCAGAATTCGAAACGTTCATGGACCCATCCACCCACGCACCCATCCATCCACCCATCCACACATCGATGCACTCACCCACGCATGCACCTCCCTCCCCACGCACCTGCCAGATTGTGCATCCCGTCGATTCAAGCCAGTCGAGGAACCTGAACGCGCCGGGACCCAAGTCGCCCGTGCCATGCGGGCCGGGAAGCGACGTGGGATGCACCAGCACGCCGCACCGTCGCGCCGGGATCAGCGAATACGGATCCATCCTTTCGTAACCCTCTTGTAACGGCTCGCCAGGGAGGATTTCGCTGCTCTTCGCAGCAGCGGGGGTCGCTGCTGGTTCTGTCGCCATCGCTCGGACAGACTGGCGGTCCACGCGGCAAGATCGAGACGGGGAGCGGGAAATGGGGAGAGGGATGCGGAGAGGCGCGAAGGTCGCTGGCGAGGCGATGCGAGAAGACGCCAATCGGAGGCGGGAATTCGACGAATCAACGGCTGAAGACGCGATGGATGCGACGTGCGCGAAGGGGAGCCGCAAGGCGGAAACCATGGCTGTGCGGATCGCTGACTCGCGGACGCACGCAAGAACGAGATCAAATCAAACTTTCTTTCAAGTCCAAGCTGAAGGAGAGTCCGAGCCAGATGGAGTGACCAAGCTAGAAGGTAATCAGGCTGGGTTGGCGACAATATCGAGGTGGTGCAATGCAGCCAAGATTTCCGAGATTCAGGCAGGCTCCGAACCGAACCCAACTGGAATAAACCGACAGGGCTGGCGGTAACTGTAGATCCCAAGGTGGTGAAGTCCAAACCAAACACAGTGGATCCAGTTTCCGATTGGTTCATAAACAAATTGACGGCGGCTTGCCACCCGCGATTTAAAGCGACGGTGCACATTTGCCACCCAAAACCCAGAACCCTGGCGAACTGTTACTGCGGATGGAAAGTGTCCGCACGAAATCCTGGTTTTCGCCAGCCAGCACTTTCGCGCTGGCAAGCCTGGTTAAAAAAAAAAACTTCTGAACCCAACACTGCCAAAAGTTGCCCGTCGCTTTAAGCAGATCCAACTACACTAGTCAGCGTAGTGCTTTAGGCTGAACTTTAAAGCCCGAGTCTAGAATGGCAACTTTTCAAGTTCAAGATTCTTGAACTTGAATTCGCCTCCCCTCCCGTCGCCTTTTAGGTGGCTCTCCCTTCCCGCGTCCGTCGCCCACGCTTACTCTAAGTGTCTCCCACGCTCTCCCATCATGTCGCTGGCCTTCACATGACGATCGCTTGCCCATTCCGTCGCTTTCCCAACACCTTTCAAGTTCAGTATTCTTGAAGCCTTACCATTCTAGACTCGGGCTTTAATGGAAAACACTCAAACATGGTGATATAAGAAAAGGCACTCAAAAAGGGGAGTGCAATATAGGCCCGAGACAAGATGAATACTAACCAGCTCACAAATGAGATAATACTAATCCCCCTTACGTTGAAAATCAGTACCTAGGCTTGTCTTTTCCTTCTCCCCATCCATTCCAATCCAACTCACTTCCCCTCCCGTTCACACTGGCACTGCCATTACTGCTCCGACCCTCCTTACCCAACCGATTGCCAGGTACTTTCTCATTTCCACTCCAACCCTCTTCCCACCTCGTCTCCCCCTCCCCACCATCACCTCTTTGCAACGCCATCTCCCACCCTTGCTTCTCCTCCACCCTCCCATACTGATCCTCGCCTCCCACCACAGACCCACCAGCCCACTGTGTGGCATCGCCCTCCTGCCACCTCCTCTCATCCTGCCATTCCCCATCGCCTGATCCTTGCCAGCTCCCACTCCTTCTGTAACCCCTGTCCTCTGGTTCAGCTCCCCCCTGCCTTTCCCATTCCTGCCATTGCTGCTGTTGCTGCTGCTGCTGCTGCTGCTGCTGCTGCTGCTGCTGCTGCTGCTGCTGCTGCTGCTGCTGCTGCTGCTGCTGCTGCAATGCCCATTGCTCTCTGTCTCTCCAATTCCCCTTTGTGCTACTGAATCCCCTACCCCCACCACCACCTTCCCTGCTCTCCTTCCCCACTCTCTCGGGACTCCCAGGGTCAATCTCCCCTCGGATAACGTCCAGCTGGTACCGAACCCACTCCCATGCCTCCGATGCAACCCCCGAACCTAACGACGAGCCACTCCCAATCCCCAAACCTGGGCCCAGAGTGTCATCCCAAACCTGTGGTTTCTTCCTCCTTTGAGAATTACTGTTCTGGAACTGGGACCACTGCCCCTGCTGCTGTTCCTCCTGTGTTTGCTGCCATCTCTCTTTCCGACCCTGCAAATCCTTCTCGTTCACGATCGGCCGAACCGAGAGCTGCAGAAGCGCCGAGCCTAGCTCCAGGAACGGCGGGCCGAGGGTGTTTCGGAGGGTGGGTGTGAGAACCACAAGCGCCGCGAGGGAGAGGAAGAGCAAGGGGCGATCGAAGAGCAGTGGCAGGAGAACCAGCACGAGAGGCACCCCCCAGGGGATTGACGTCAGCAGCTGGAGTAGGGGAACAGGGAGAGGGGAGAGGAGGGGAGAACTAGTGGGTAGCAGAGTGCACGGGTGGGTTGGGGGAGAGAAGTAAGGGGCGGTCGAAGAGCAGTGGCAGGAGAACCAGCACGAGGGGCACCCCCCAGGGGATTGAGGCCAGCAGCTGGAGTAGGGGAATGGAGCAGTAATGGGCGAGGGAGTACCCTCTTCAATTTACTCAAACGTCTTTCCAGGGGATAAACATCCGAGATCAGGGTACGAATTTTGAAAGTTAACAAAATGCTTTTGCCCCGCCGACGGTAAAAAAAGTCAACACTTCATACAGACATGTGAACCAGTGACCTGAACCAGATGCCTTAACCGCACGCTTTTGAACTGCTATGAACTTGCCTCTTTCAATGGTTCAAGAAGGTCGTCGCCGCTCTCCACTCCTCCTCCTGCTCGTCCCCCTTCTCCTCTTCCTCCTCCCATTTCTCTCTCCGGCATTCGCCCAAACGGTCCTTCACTGCGCCCATCCAACCTGCTACTCCACTCCTCTGCACCGCCCTCCAAGCCTCTATCTTCCATCTGCATTCCCCCGCGGCTCCTTGGATCACCTGCCTCGCCACTGGCACGGTTGTACGCGTTATACTCACGCCCATTATAGTCATAATCATAATCATCGCCTTCTTCGCCATAGTCACGTCGTACAGAATCCTCCGGCGGAAATCGACGCTGTTGCCATTCCGCGGCGGCGCTTTCCCCAGCATCCCCGCCACCCGCGTTCCGGCCTATCCCTCCCTCCGCAACTCCGCCGCGTGCGCTCACCACTGCGCCATCAACCATTCCTAACAACCCTCTTTCCCTTTCGCGCCCCCGACCTTGGGATTGCCGCGGCGCAGCCGCACCTCCGCGAGAAGCTTCATCGCCGTTCCGATCGGACGGTCGTCGCCTCCAGCCCTCCGCATTCGAGTCCCAGAATTCCCTTTTTCCGCCGCCGTCGCCGCCGCCGCTGCCGGCGCTGGCCCTGACAGCTCTAAAGGAGCAGCCTACGGGGAATGAAAGATGGCGAAGGCAGAGTATGGACGGAGAAGCATAGTAACCCATCTGAAGCATGCTGTATGTGGGACGGCTGGAATCAGGGTCAGGAGTTTTTAGAAATTTATGTCTGAGAACCTGTTTTTGATACAACAAACGAGTCGGTGTAGTTTAGTGGTTAGAATCCCACGTTGTGGCCGTGGAGACCCGGGCTCGAATCCCGGCACCGACACTTTTGCTTCTTGCGAGATTGACTTACATTTTGCAAAAAAAGTGAACTCAGTGTGCAGGCTACTCGTTCCCCCCCCCCCCCCCGGATCCTGCGATAGATCGTGCAGAATCAATCCTCCACTGCACTAAAATCCTTCTTGCTGCATTCACAACTACCAGAACATTCTCTAGCCCCGGAAAAAAACAATCCTGCGCAGGATCGATCGCAGGATCGAGGGGGGGGAGGGGGTGGGGGGGGGGGGGGGGGGGGGGGGGGGGGGGGAGGGGGGGCGTCCTAATCGTGTGTGAGGTGGTTCACTCAAAAGGCTGAATCTGCATGTGTGAAAAGTGTTTTTGCAAGTGTGTCAAAAAACTCCACAATTGCTAAACATCAGGACAGCAGCAGGTACGGTACGACAGAAGCAACAGCAGCAGGAAGGAAGCGTGATGCCTAGAGCAGCATGGAGCAGAGGTCGCAGAGGAAACTGGCGGGAGGTTCAGAGAAACCCGCACAGCGTGTGTGTTGCCACACCTCACACCTGGTGGGTGTGATGGGAGCGAGGCGAGGAGGGAGTGGGAGAGAATTGAGGAAATAGGCAGCAAGAAATGGATAGGGGAGAGGGAGAGGGAAGAGGGAGAGGAAACGAGAGGAAGGGTTTCTGAAATCATATATAAGAAGGATGTGGACAAACAGTCCAGAGGGAGGAGGGGAGGGATAAAGACAGAACTAGTGAAGGGTTTCTGCCCACGTGGCAGCTCACTGCAAGCTCCATGCACCCACAGAGAAGCCCAGTAGTTACACTGACCAATCACCATCCAGTATCTTTTCCACTGACAGGCCCCACTGACTTATCGCATGCCACCACCTGTCCCACTCGCCTATCACAAACAGCCACTTGTCCCGCTCGCCTATCACAAACAGCCACCTGTCCCGCTCACCTATCACACACCGCCATCTGTCCCAAGTCCCACTGACCTATCACACGCCACCATCTGTCCCAACTCCCACTGACCTATCACACGCCACCATCTGTCCCATCCCAACTCCCACTGACCTATCACACGCCACCATCCGTCCCAACTCCCACTGACCTATCACACGCCACCATCTGTCCCAACTCCCACTGACCTATCACACGCCACCATCTGTTCGCCGTCGTCATCCCTCGTGCCACAGCTGCACTCCACCACCCACCCCTCCGAACCTCCCTCCCAGCACAGGTCCGAGCCTGCATCCATGCCTGAGCCCCGGACCAGCACTACGCAGCGAGGGCTGAGGTTTGGCCGGACCAAGGCAGTGGACTGTAGATGAGCGAGCAGGGGGAGCTGAGATACACTGAATCTGGACATGGCACAGTAGGTGTCCCTGTAGGGAGAGGAGTTGAGAGTCCGAGGGGAGGGAGAGGAAAGGGGGATAACAAGAGGGGTGAGAAGGGAAGAGGAGTGTGGAGGGAAGCGTATGTTCAGGAGGCTTATACAGAGGGATTCAGGAATAGACTGGCTTATTTTTTTCCTCAATCTGTAACGCTCCCAACCTTGCCTCATAGTCCCTACAAGGTCCGTCATACCCCTTGTTGCCTTACTCGATACCCCTTATTGCCTTACCTCATGCTCCTCTCTATCGCCTCGCCGAGTTGAGCCACTGTAGCATCAGTGGGCACCACCACATACTCCACTGGTATCGGCCCCAGCCGCCTCTGCCTCGACACAGGCTCCGCCCCTCTTGCTGCCACTGCTTCTCGTGCTCCTGCTGCACCTCCTGCTGCTGCTTCTTTTGCTCCTGCTGCGATTCCCGCTACTGTTGCTTTAGTTGTTGCTGTTGCTGTTGCTGCTGCTGCTGCTGCTGCGGGTACTGTTGTTGTCCCTGCTGCTGCTGGCACAGCAACGGCCTTCTCGCCTGTTCCAGGCTTTGCCACTCCTCCAGTGATCGATTTTCCACCTGCACCTCCTTCAACTTTCAATGCAGCAGCCTCTCTCTCCTTCCCAGCTCTTTCCTTCCTCTCCCCACTCCCCTCCCTCTCCTCCTCCTCGCTCTCCTCCACCACCACTCGAAACGCCACACACATCAACCCATCCGCTTCTCTTTCTCCCACTCCGCGCCCCTCTCCCCCCCAGTACCCCTTCACCAGGTGCTTTGTGTCCAGAACCACCCGCACCAACGCCAGCAGCCCCTCAGCAGCACCGCTGCCACCGCTGCCACCGCTGCCATCACGTGTGGTGGGGTCCCACTGGCAAGCACTGGGGGAATAGAAGCCCCGATGCAGATGCTTGGCAGTAGGAGAAAAGGGCCTGGCAGTGTGCATGGGGTGGACGCGTCTGGCAGTGCCTTCCAGCAGGTTGCGGTAGAGGTAGCGCAGGTGAGGCTCCACTGGGCTGCTCGTTGCTGCCAGCGCCACCACTGCCGCCGCACCCTGCTGCTGCTGCTGCTGTTGACTTGCCTTTTCTTCCCCAGTCATAGGGGCAGAAACTGCCGCTCTTACATGACTGAGACTGGAAGGAGACTTGAAGGCCTGCATTTTGCTGAAGTGGGTCGCTTTACTAAGTGCCTTGAGACCCGTGCTCTTGTTGTGATTCAAATCCCTGCACTGCTTCCCTTCTCCTCCTTCCCTTCCCTCCCCTGCCTCCCCTCCTTCCCCACTACCCACTTCCCTGCGTGGTCCTGCCCCTGTCCCGTCCTGAGCTCCAAAACCCGTGAGCTGAGGGCCCCAGGGGGTCGGGAGAGGGGCAGAGAGCTTGGGAAATATCTCAATTGATGTCGACATCGGCACAACATGCTGCTGAGACGCCTCAAAGGGAGGTGAGACAGAGGCAGCATGCATTTGAGACGCATCAACAGAACGCAGGGGTGGTTGGGCTCGGGCTCCCCCACAGCATAGGCTGGGCTGGAGAGCAGGGGGCTTGGGGAGAACGGGAGGAGGTGCAGGAGGTCCTATGGGGCGGGTTGATGCAGCTGTTGCCTGTACATTCCCCCCAGCGGCCAAGGTAGTGGAAAGTATGGGGCAATGGTCTGCCTGCTGCGTTTCTGCACCTTCACCTTCACCTGCATCTTCCCCTTCTCGCCTCCTGCGTTGGGGAAAACCAACGCTATCCTCAACAGCATTACCCTCCTCCGCAATCTCCCCCTCCACAGCATCCTCCTCAACAGTATCCAAAGCGCTCCTCTGTACACGCAGCTCCCCCCTTTTATCCACTCCACTGTCCTCCATCCCAGCCTTTGCTGACCCTTGAGTCGACTTACTAGCTATTCTCGCCACACTAACCACTCCGCCACCCTCCCCACACTTAACTCTCTTGCACTCCTGCTCCTCACATCCCTCGCCTTCTCTTCTCCCCTCCCCATTCTCCACCCCATCCCTGTGTCTCCTCAGCCTCTCGTCCCGCCCTCCCTTCCGCTCCCTTCCCTCCCTCCCGTCCAATTCCTCCCTCCCCTCCTTGGTTCCTTCTTCTCCCATTCCCCCCTTCCTTTCCCAGTCCTCTTGCACCCCATAGTGCACTGCCTCGGTCTTCACCCTCTCTCTCTCCTGCCCTGCACCCGTCCTCCCCACTCCTGCCCCCTCTCTCTCTGCAAGCTCCCCAACCTCATCCACAGCCAGACTCCGAACTCCATTCCGTGGCCCACTGCCACTCCACTTCCCACTCCCTTGCCCACTCCTCTTCTGACTACAATCCTCCGCCCCAATACAGCTCTTCTTGACTTCTGGGATCCGACTGCAATCCGCTTTTGCTCCTGATGTCAACACCTGCTTCTGCACCCGAGCTTGTGTGTGCGGCTTGTCATCTGCAGCAGCAGCGCCAGCCACAGCAGCAGCACCAGCCACAGCAGCAGCACCAGCCACAGCAGCAGCACCAGCCACAGCAGCAGCACCAGCCGCAGCAGCAGCAGCAGCAGCGGCAGCGGCAGCAGCAGCCACAGGTAGAGTAGCAATCCCACCACCCTGGCCAGCATCATCCAGTCTCCTATCTCTGCATCCAACCCACGGCTTTCTCTCCTCTCTCTCCTGCCCCTGGATACTCTTATCTTCCCCACCTTCCTCTCCTGCCTGTTGCAGTGTTGCCTGCATCGACTTGCTCTTCTTCAATTGTTTCTGCTGCTGCTCCTCGTGCCCTCGTCTCTTCTTCGAAGCAACAGGCAGCAGCAGACTCTCCTCTGCTAAAGAGATTTTTCCAGTCTCACAGTCTTCCCTGTTCCTCAAGGGACTCAGAGCACGTTCCCTCCTCCTAATGAATTCGTTCTCCCTCCTCTCACTCAGTGCAACCTCTTTTCTCTTCGCACCGCAACTCGCCTTCCCTTCGCCACCACAGCTATCCTCTCTGCCATTCCTTCCATTCACCCCTGCACTCTTCACATGCGCCGTCTCCGCTGGCCGTTTCAACTGCTTCTGTACACTACTCAATTTCTCGGAACCCTTTCTCTCATTGTCTGCCCTTTCACCAAGACAAGCAGTTCCTCTATTTACAGTCTGCCTGTCACCCAAATCAGCAGCGATTCGCTTCCCGTTCCGTCTGCCTGCACCAGAGTTTTCAGTTGTCTGAAAACTCTTCCCATTCAGTCTCTTCAGGGAACCCGTGTCAGCAGGTGACACCTTCAACATGTCTTTCAAGCTACATTCCCTGCTTTGGAACAACTTCCGCTTATCCACATTCGCAACTCCTATTCCTCCATCTGCACCCCCCTTCCCTCCATCTGCACCGCTCTTCGCTCCATCTACACCGCCCTTCCCTCCATCTGCACCGTTCTTCCCTCCATCTGGATCCCCCCGCAGCGCCCATCGCCTACCTTTCCGTCCACTGCCCTCATCCACTTCCCCTTTATCCACTATCACCTCCTCCTCCCAGCCCCATTCCTCCTCATCCTCGTTCTCTTTTCCTCCCTCCCCCTCCTTCTCCTTCTTCTCCTCCTTCTCCTTCTCCTCCCCCCCTTCCTCCTCATTCTTCAGCCTCTCCTCCCCCTCTTCCTCCATCTCCACCCCCTCCTTATCCTCCTCTTCTAGAACTCCCGCCGTTGCCCTCAGGTCGCACCTTCTCCTCACCACTGCACCATCCGTGCATCTTCTCTCCCACTGCTCCCCGACGCACTTCGCTTCCCCCGCATCCAAAGCTTCCCCCGCTTCCCTTGCTTTCCCTGCTTCTTCTGCTCCCCCCGCTTCCCCTGCTTTCCCTTCTTCTTCTGCTTCCCCCGCTTCCCCTGCTTCCCCCGCTTCAGAAGCTTCCGCCGCTTCCCCTGCTTCTCCCTCCTGCTTGAAGCCCTTTAATGCCATCCCCATTGCACGCAACACGTGCTCCTCTTTCCCCTCCTCTTTCACCTCCTCCTCTTCCTCCTCTTCTACTTCCACCCCCTCCCCTTCCTCCTCATCCTCCCCACCCTCCCTCTTCTCCTCCCTCTCATTCCCCTTCCCCTCCTCCCCTTTCACTTCCTCCTCCCCCCTCACCTCTCCCTCCAACAATCCACACCCATACTCCCCGCCACACCGCATCACCTCACCCCTAAGCTCTTCCTCCCATGCATCCAGCCCCCACCACCCCGCACCATCACCTGCATGCTCTGCATACCACCCGAGCTCCTCACACTCCCCACCTGGTGCATACAGACCCCTGTAATCATAAGCCCCACATTCATTCTCATAAGCCTCCTCACAACCTTTTCCCCCACCATCCCTCCCCTCACAATTCCCCTGCTTACAGTCCTCCTCACAGTTCTCCTCCTCATAATGCTTCCCTTCACAATCCCTCTCTTCACACACTTCCTCATTACAGCCCTCCTCCTTAGAGTCACGCAAATTCACACGCTTTCCAACCCCACCCGTCTGCCCCTCGTGTTCCAAAGCCCCATACACCGCACATTCCCTCCCTGCCTTGCCTCCAGACACTCCCTTCTCTCTCCCACCTCTTTGACTAACAGCAGCCGCTGCTGCCTCTTCCCCTGCTAGCAGATCACAATCCCCTGTGGCATGCGGACTATCAGTATCAGCATCCCCTGTGGTATGCGGCCTATCAGTATCAGCATCCCCTGTGGCATGCGGCCTATCAGCATCCCCTAGGGCACCTGGAGTACCGGCATCCCCTGGAGAATCTGCCAGCAGCGCCTTGAGCTCACCATTCCCCCCTCGCCCTCTTCCCCCACGCACCCCTTTTCCTCTGCCTCCCCTCCCTGCCCCTCCACCTGCTCTTCCCGTCCCCACTGCTCCTGCTGCCGCCGCTGCTGCCGCTGCTGCTGCTGATGCTTCTGCCACTGCTTTTCTTGCTACTGCTCCTCCTATTGCTTCTCCTGCTGCTGTCTTTCTCATCAACTTTTTTCCACCCTCTGCAGCACCACTAGCAGATTCACCTCGTCCCCTGCCCCTGCCCCTCCCTCCCCCTCCCTTTCCTACCCCTCTCCCTCTCCCTCTCCCCACCCCTATCCCCTTGCCACCGAAACTGCCTCTGCCCCTTCCGACCCTCCCTCCCCTCCCCCCTCTCCTCCCTGCCGCCCCTCTCCACTCCCCTTTCTCCCAGTCCACGTCATCACTGGCCTCATCCACGTCATCACTCTCCTCTGATGAGCTGGACGATTCCTCATCGCTCTTGAAAACGTTCACCTGCGATCTGCCTCTCGGTCTCCCCCCACCCTTCACATCTTCTCCCACTGCCCCTCCCGCTGCTGCCCCCCCTGCTCCTCCCCGTGCTTCCACTCCACTCGACTCCTCTTTTCCTCTCATTCCCCCAGCTTCTCCTCGACTCACTAGCCCTTTTCCTCCCCTTATTACTCCCCCATACGAATCTTTCTCTTCACCTCCCTCTGCTCTAAGGCGTTTAGACGGAATGATGCTAATACCAGACGACCTAACGGCGTCTCTTCCTTGTCTGCTTCTGGGGGAGGTGACATATCTACCTGCCGTAACCTTGCCACTTTTGGCACCTGGGATTCCAGGTAAACCATCAGGTGATTCTACAGCATTATTCAGCCTACTTCTACTGTCAGGTTGTTCTGCTGGAAGGCTCACACTTGGGTTATCTCTAAGCGTCACGTTAATGACGCCTCTATCAGCAGCAACGTCACTTTCCGAGCCTGCATTTACCCCAGCACTTCTGTCCCACGCCTCTCTTTCAGGCTTCACCCAGACTCTGAAGCTAGGCTCGGCAGTCAGCGTGGGTACCAAAGCTGTGCCGAGCCTGGTCCGGGGGGAAAGTGGGGACGGTTCGTGAACTTGACTCTGCCCCTTGGAACGCATTCGGGGAGTGAGAGGGGGTGGGCTCTTGAGGCCTGCGGAATGAGATGGTGAGCGGCCAAGAGGCTGGGGCGAAGAAAGTGCATTCTCTGCTGTAACTGGGCTGGATAGACGGTGAAGCGTTAGTGGAGAGAGAGTAAGTGAAGGGGATGCTAGTGGGGAGGAATTTTGTGAAGGACGACGAGTCAGAGGTTGGGATGTCAGTGGGGTAGGAGTCAGTCCCCGGCTTAAGTCAGGTGACAGAGGGAGGGAGTTAGAATGTACACTGCTAGGAGTGGCATCGGCAGCAGGTTTGGCTTTCCAGCTGCCGATGCTATTAGCTGTAGCAGCGGGAGCTGCAGCAGCAGTCTCAATGGCAGCAGCAGAGGCAGCAGGAGCAGCAGCAGGGGTGGCAGAAGGACGTGATGACAGCAGTTCGAGCATCAGCCTCAGAAGTTGGCCTAGCGTTTTCAAACTTTCGCCTTGGCCCAGTTGGGGGAGAACAGAATGCGGGCGAGTTGAGGCATTGGAGACAGTAGCATGGGGTGCTGTAGCGAGGACGGCTGTAGCATGGAGAGGTGGAGCATGGGATGGCTGTGGGCAGTGTATTGCTTGGGAGGTAATAGCCCCTTGGTCTGTTCTTGGTGCATGTGCGTCTATGTGCAACCCTGCTGCTGATGCTGCTGCTGCTATCGGTGCTGGTAACCTTGCCGTTGGTGCCAGTGCTGCTGCTGCTGCTGGTGAGAACTGTGTTTGATTAATATGAGGTGTCACTTGTGGTGTGTCGGGTGTACGCAGTGCAGGAGCGGAGAAGGGGCAGGTGTTGTCACTGGCCCATGATTGATAATGCTCGATAATGGCTACCAGGTCCTGAAAGCAGAAAACAGGGAAAGCCACGAGACAAAAGGATGTCATGGCTCCAAACTTCCCCCAGGAGAGAAAATAGAAAACTCTAGGCCAAAAACCACTCTAGGGCAGAGACCACTCAGCATATTAGGGCGGGGTGCATCATGCTATTTTGCAGGATCGCGATCCCAAGCGATCCTTGTTACAGTGTTTTGTCTTTTGCGCACAGTAACTACTGTAGCGTTGCTGCACCACGACCCTGGGGGATCGCGAAAACTGCCACCCAACCACCCTCGATCACGCGGGATCTGAGAGCCTGCGATCCCACACGATCAAGGGTTGGAGGTGCACCACGTGCACACCGATCCTTGTTCGCGAGAAAGCAATTGTCGCCTAACAGCAAAACGAAACGAGAGCGAGGTAAATACGACATGGTTACGGAACAAACGCTGAAACCAAAATGTACAGGCGACGCCTTGACCGCGTCTCATTGGTGGTTGGGGATCGGGACTGCAAAACTGCAGGTGGTGCATCATAGGGGGGTGCCATTGGGTCGCAGGGGACCCCGAGCACGCCCAACCCAACCGGATTCCACAGGGTTGCGGTTCTAGCATCGCGATCAAGCAATTTCATGCAATTTCAGCATGATGCACCCCGCTCTTAGCACTGCAATGCAGACTTCGTTATACTCACAGGGTCCAACCCCTTGTAGAGTTCTCCAATCGCTGCAAGCGGGGTCGCGGCCGCTGCTGCGAGTGCGTGCTTGTACACGTCTTCAGTCACGCCGTAACACCCCTTGCCGAAGCGGTAACCCCACCGGCCGTACCACGAGTGGCCGTACGCCAGCCCATGCAGCAGACGCAGGTTCAGACCCATCTTTTTAGACATGTCCATGCATGTCACCTCCCTGTAGGGCGGAGAACGAAACATTGGGACGATGAACAAATGGTGATGTAAACAGCCTCAGAGTCTCAGCCTCAAGACACGCAGGTCCACACCAGACCCAGCTTCTTAGACATGTCCATGCATGTCATGTCACCTCCCTGTAGGGCGGAGAAAAATGACTGGAATGGTTGATATGTCAGTCAGTTGCCTCAGCCTCAAGTCACTCAGCTTGTCCATCATTGACAGACCATGCATGGCATGGCATCTCCTTGTGGGGCAGAGAGCACATGACAAAACACCATCCTTGCTCACCTGGCGTTGAGCATGGTGCAAATGCGGTCCCACAGGCCCATCAGCTGCCGCCCAGTGACAAGGCGTGAGCCGCGCTCTCGGCCGTTGATTCGTAGGAGGTGGCCAAATCCGTTGGTGTGGATCACTCCATGCAGCAGGTGCGTCTGAGACTCCAGTAAGGTCCCTCGCACTGCATCATGCCCACATGCAGTGCACCTGGACAGGACCCACGGGGCAATGGAACATACGGTACAATAGCAGAGTCAATGAATCAGGGAATGAAGTACAATCAACTACCGTTTGGCGTCGAATGCGACTCTGACCGTTCGGCATTGGAGGTCAAAAGAAACTCACCGCTTGGCGTTGGAGGCGATGACAGCGCTGCAGTTGGGGCAGAGCTTGCGGCCTTTGCCGATGCCCTGGCTGTTGTTCTCGTCCACGTCAGCCACAAGCGGAATGATGAAATGGTAGTGGTGCACTGATACAGGGTGGTGACTCCACCCTGCACAACCGGACATGAAAACGCGGAGTACACCCGCGCACACAGAAACACACAGAACCACACACACACGCATGCACAAAACAAACTCATGAACACACACAAACACCCACACACACATCCACCCATCCACACAAATACACACGCACATACTCAGACGGCGATATGACCCGTGAGCACACAACTGTAGAGCCCACCCGTGACGGACATATGTACAACCTAAAGTACACACGTGCTACTATTTGAAGCACATACGCGCTACCATTCAACGCACACCGTTGAAGTTCAGAAGGTAATTCTTCCAAAGTTGATGCGCCTTCGCCATGCAACACATGCTGGTAAATAGGTCTTCGCGTTACGTTCTGAGTAATTCCACACGCTTTTCACGGTACTTTCGATTCTTGGGTAGAAAGTCGCACATACTTCGCTCCAACGGAATGACGTCTTTAACTGCCTACTAACTACTAGGCGATTAGGTCCAGGCGCACCTGCCACGCGGCAGTTGTCGCAGTGAGCGCGGCCCGAAGCTTGCACGTTCTCCTCGAGTACACGCAAGCCGATGCGGTGGCCCTTGTCGTCTTGCAGGCGAATCGTCCATGAAGCGACACCCTCGATGTTACACGAATCGGGCTCTGCGAAATCGCGTATTAACTTCTGAACAAGTTGGCGAAAAGGAAATGGACCACGGGGAAAGTCCGCGGGACACTCATTGGTGCCGAAAAGCGCGAAAGAGAAGGCCCCGTGGACCTTTCGTCGCTTGCTTGCTCTGTGAAGTACCATCGTGAGCGGAACTGATACGCTTCGAAATACGACTAGTGGTTGTTGCAGAAATTATAGCGGCATACACGCCATCATCGCGCTCTAACCTGATGGATTCTAAGCTTCAAGCTGCAGACTGCAAGTGACGGGAACCAAAACTAGCGAACATCACGCGATTAGGGTTTCAGAGGAGGAGATGCAGAAATGCGAATCGGAGACTGCGTCTTTGGGCTGTGGTTGGCTCATCCACTCGACTCGAGTCGACAATTTCAAGGTGGCTGCGACCTCGGGTTGATCAATGGTGGGCAGGAACACTACGGTAGGTGCCTCCGAGTGACAACTGTGCTGGTGAAGTGAGGGCGAGAGCACCAATCAGCTGTCTTGCCGCCTTTGAGATTCCCGGAAGCACCTCATTTGAAGGTTTGAGTAGCGACTCTGGGAACAAATGATACCAGCTTGTCACGCTACACTACCAATATGTGTGGATTATGGTTTGGATATGAGTAGGGATATTGAGAAATGCAATGAAAGCTTTGCCACCATGATTTCATTATTCATAGATAAAATCCAGGACAGAATTCCTATCGGTTATTATATCAGAAACGCGATATATCTAGCCATACATGTGTTTCTGAGGGTAAAGCGAATCTGATTACAATAGCATCGTTAATAATCGCAGTATTCTTAACTTCTACATGAGCTGCAATTATAGTTGTACGCCATTATGTATATCATATAGGAAGCTAGTCTGCATCACACCTACGTACCCCATCGCTCTCCGGCCGCCATTATCAAGGCAAGCCACTCCAAATCATTTGCCCTCTGCTCACTTCCCCCTCCATCTTCTCACCAACATCCTATCCTCCCCCGCCTCTTAGGGTTTCGTAGCTTTGCCTCCGTCGGCTGCTAGTAGGTCTAGGCACGCAGCCTCACCATTAGGTGATTATCTCCGAGTACCGCGTTCTCACGATCCAGACGACGGCTGTTGTTTGCTGGTTAATGCTTCCTTTTTTTTGCCCTGAGCAAAAGTACCAGTTCGCCTGGTGTTTCTGTTAGAGACTAAATCATTGAGACGTCTGATGCACCAGCGGTTGCATTCGCGGGGTTGCTAGCTGCGGCCCGCGTGGCTGCTTCTCGCTCCCCGTTCTAACCGGCCGCGTTATATTTTAAAAGCTTTCCCGTATCGAACTTATTTCGCTTCGACACTTCTTCTCATTTTAGCTCTTTAGGTTCTTAGCTTTCAACATGTTTCGGGGAGATCGGGGTATGGCGCAGCCCGACTCGAGCAGAGGCGGGGGATCGAAGGACGCGAGGGGGTACCGGGAAAGAGACGTGGCGGGGGGCGCGGTGGGGGGCGGAGCGGGAATGGATGCGCACACGGGGAAGAAGCGCGGGGATGAGATGGCGATGGCGCAAGGTCAGGGAAGCAAAGGGGGCATTAATCCGCGCGATAAGGAGAGGCTTTCGGGGGTGCCGTCGTCCTCGCAACAAGCCGCTGTCGGCCAGGGAAAGGGTATGATGTGCTCGGGTTGCTGCTTACGTGCAAAGGGTGTGTGTTCGAGTTTTTGTTTCTTTTCGATCGGAGCGACAGTACGAGTATGTTGCTCGTCGTTGCCGTTTGTTGTGGTTGGTGCGGCTCGGAAGCACTAGAACATACTACTACTTCCGCGAAAATGCCCACTTGGATGCTCGTTTTTTTTTTAGGGCAAGTCTCAGCATTGTGCATTGCTTGTTATTGTTGCCCGACGCCATCCCATCTGGTTCCATTCGATGTATGCGCTTCCTCTGCGCTTTGGCTTTCGTCTGTGTCGCCGGTCTGTTCGATCGTGGTCATCCACGTCAGCTCGAACTCAGGTTATCCGATCGACCCATAGAACGAAAATGGCTGTTTTGGAGAACTCGGAGGAATGCAAAAGAAAAGCACACATTCGGTTCGTGTTCCGCCGTCGCCGTTGCGCCATAAGTCCTGTTGCCGGTCTCCCCCCTCCCCGTCCCCACGCCCCTTTTTTCGGCAGTTCCTCCACCCTCCCCTTCCCATCCCTCGTCCACACATCCAATCCGACCCCTTCCACCCCCCCTCTCTCCCCCCTCCCCCCCCCCCCCTCCCCCCCTTCCTCTCCCTTCCGCCTCCACACCCATTTCAAAGATTTAGAGAGCGAGGAGTCGGAGGACGACACATCGTGGGTGCGTCGTTCTGCTCGCTCAAGGGCAACGAGTGTTTGACCTCCTTCCCTCTGTTGCCTTCCTTTCCTTCCCTTCCGTTGTCCACACATCCAACCACCCCCCCCCCCCCTTCCTCCCACCCCCTTTCTTCCCCCGACACCCTACGAAGATTCGGAGAGCGAGGAGTCGGACGTGAGCGACTCGGAGGACGACGCGTCGTGGAATCATGGATATGTGGTTCTGCTCGCTCAAGGGCAACGAGCGAGAGTTTGATCCTTTTCCCTCTGCTGCCCTTCGCTATCCGCGCGTGCCCCCTACGAAGATTCAGAGAGCGAGGAGTCGGACGTGAGCGACTCGGAGGACGACACGTCGTGGATCACGTGGTTCTGCTCGCTGAAGGGCAACGAGTTCTTCTGCGAGGTGGACGACGAGTACATTCAGGACGACTTCAACCTCTCGGGGCTCAGCAGCCAGGTGCCCTACTACGACTACGCGCTCGACCTCATCCTCGACGTCGAGTCGCCCACAGGTGCGGGGGGGCGCGGGGGAGAGGGGGGTGGGGCGGGGAGAGGGTAGGGGGGCGCACGCGCCTGGGAATGGCAGGGGCTGAAGGGGCGCGGGTATGGGCGAGCGAGGGGACGGAGGGGCGCATGGGTGGGCGAGGGAGAGGGAGAGAGGGAGGGAGAGGGCGAAGGGCAAGGGGCGGATCACGTGGTTCTGCTCGCTGAAGGGCAATGAGTTCTTCTGCGAGGTGGACGACGAGTACATTCAGGACGACTTCAACCTCTCGGGGCTCAGCAGCCAGGTGCCCTACTACGACTACGCGCTCGACCTCATCCTCGACGTCGAGTCGCCCACAGGTGCGGGAGTGTGGGGGGGGGGGAGGGGGGGAGGAAGGGGGAGAGAGAGAGGGTAGGGCGAGGGAGGGGGTGAGGGGGCGCGCATGGGGGTGAGGGAGGGGGGAGTGTGAGCAGCCAGGTGCCCTACTACGACTACACGCTCGGCCTCATCCTCGACGTCGAGTCGCCCACAGCTGCGGAGGGAGGGGGAGGGAGCGGGAGTAAGGAAAGGAAGGGATGCGCGCATGGGAATGGGGGAGGGGGGAAGGGGCGTGCTTGCCTGGGGGTGAGGCTGGGGGGAGTGTGGTGTGAGCAGAGCAGCCAGGTGCGCAACCACTGCTACGCTCCTCCCCTTATGCTGCCGACGTCGAATCGCCCACTGGTGAGACGCTGAGAGGGGATGGAGGAAGGGATGTGCGCGCAAAAAAGGGGGGAGGACGGCAGTGGGCGAGTGTGAGCAGAGCAGCCAGATGCGCAACCACTGCTACGCTCCCCACCTTATGCTGCCGACGTCGAATCGCCCACAGGTGCGGTGATGCGCGGGAGTGTGGCAGGTGCTCGTGGCGGGGGAGGGGATGAGGGGTTGCGCGCGGGCATGGGGTTGGGGGAGGGGATGAGGGGGCACGCGCATGGGGGTGGGGGAGGGGATGAGGGGGCACGTGCGCATGGGGGTGGGGGAGGGGATGAGGGGGCGCGCGCGCATGGGGGTGGGGGAGGGGATGAGGGGGCACGCGCGTGGGGGGTTGGGGGAGGGGATGAAAGGGCGCGCGCACCCCCCACCTTGCAACCCCCAGCGCAACGAGGTGTTCTGTGTGCGTGCCCTTGTCCCCGATGCAACTCGACCTTATTCCCGATGCAGAGTCGGGGCGGGTGATGATTGTAAGGGCTGGGATTCGCACTGGGGTGGGTGGATGGGTGGGTGGGTGGGTGGGTGGGTGGGTGGTTGGGTGGTTGGGTGGGGGCTTGTAGCTGCCTAGTTCTGTGCTGACCGAGTGTGTCGCGACTCAGTTCTGTGCTTTATTCAGTCGTGGGTTCGCCCACGGGCAGGTGGGGAGGGGACTTAGGTTCTGGAGTGGGGTAGGCGGTGTGGTGCACAGCATTATCTGTTTTATTTTTTTTGTTATGAAGTCGTTTTCGTTAGGCTTTAGATCCGTGTGTGATTCCTCTCCACTCAATGGCATAAGCTGTCTGTGGTTACTGCTGTTTTCTTCTCCGTTCGTTACTGTTTTCTTCTCCGTTCGTTACTGTTTTCTTCTCC